CTGGCGGTTCAAACCCACCAGCCACTCCTCGGAAGGAAGGTTGGGCAGTCTACTTCCGTAGTGATACTGCCTTGGAAACCCAAGGAGGGGTCACTATAATTCGGGTGTGACTCGACGACAGTGAGTTTGGTTTGGTTTTTATGGACATCAGTAGAGGTGCAGAGAAACCCACTAGAAAAGGGATTCAGCAAGTAGAGAACCCCTATCATGTTGTCCAGAGGAACATGCAAACCTATGGAGCTGGTTAGGGAAGTCTCCCTAGGTCTCTGAAGTGCTTTCCAGAGGATGACCATATGCTTTATTTTTCAAACTGAGACACTTGGGAGAGAGAAAGGGTACTAACCAGATGGGGTGTGGGGATAACAGGCATCAACTGGGACTCTGCCAGGCAAACTGGAACATATTTCTCTGTGGGTGGCACCAGTGAAACCTAACTTAACAATGCTTATCTGAACATACACAACATAAAGTACATATTCCATGCTCATAGAATATGCCTGAACACATTCAACTCATTTACAGCCTTGAACAACTGCCCTGTGGAGTTCAGTGTCTGGACATGTTCCAGCACTTTCATTGCATTTATTATCAGGATGTTACGATCAGAATGCATCACAGTATCATTTTTATGAGAAGATCTTTGTGAGAAATTCTTACCTGATCTTAGAACCAAGAATAATTGTTCTTTCTTTTCATCGTACAGACATTATAAATGGTATATCTGACCAGGTGTCTCTGTTTTGGCTACTAGAAAGCTTAAAGGAGTCAGTGTGGAAGTCATCGTGGCATGCATTTGTAGCCTCATGCCTGACTCCGTTTCGTACCCTCATCCTTGAGTTTCTCCCAAGTAACTTCAATTTACCCTACCTTGTCCTTTAGATTTTCTTGTAAGTCACTGTGATCAGTCCCTCCTTCCAAGGCCTGAGCAATCCCACAGTAAAGAACAGTTTAAATTGACTGGATCCAGCATTTCTCAAATAAACACAGAAGCTTTTTTTTATGTAATGCAGTTCTGTGGAACACATTAAAACTTCAAATGAATCAAACACTTTATCACAGAAGTTTAGGGCTTTTTACCTAAGTGTGTTAATGAGGTTAAGTGCTCATGTTTTCACTTCACCATTGTATTAACCACTGCCTTGTTAAGGTTGCCTGGGCAACTGGATGTAGTTATTCCCCAAGATGAGACTGGTAATCAACTCCCCGTGGAATCTGCTATGAATGGCTATGTAGCTGCCTTGGAGGTGGGGTAGGTGGTGGTGGCCTGTTGCCGGTATATAAGAAGCAGTTTTGAGGAAGCTCTCTTAAGGTTTTGGGGTGTTTGGATCCTACATTTGGCTGAGTCTTCATCCAATGGCCTGCTATGTTGCCTGCCAATTTTAGAATTGTCCAGCCAATGGCCTGCCATGTGCCTGTTGATCTCAGGGTTGTGCCATTCTACTTGCTGACCTTGGGTTTGTCAGCCTTAGCAGTCAGCAGCTACATAAGTTACAAGAAGCCTCCAGCCCCAGTGGGCTGGGAGCAAGGGGTTGAGCTGAAGCCCAAGGCTGAGAGCCTGTTTGTTAAAGCCATCCATTTGTGGTACTTCTATTATGGCTGCACTAGAGGACCTGCACAACCACCCTCTTATGTCTCCATACTCTGTGCAGATAAACAGAGTCACATGACAGAGTACTGAACGTAGGACCCAAAAGTCAGCTTAAATTCTTGTGTCACCATTTACCTTTCATGTGACCTTGAATACGCTACTTACCCTGAGCCTCAATTCCTGCATCTGAAAATTAGGAATAACAGCTATCCAAACTAGGTAGCTCTCCATCACAATTTTGGAGAGGATCAAAGACAGCTCCTATAAAAGTGATCTAAATCTGTAAAATAGTTCCCAAGAACACTGTTTATGCTAGGCTTTGGCCAGAGTTGTCTGCAGCCAGGCATGAGCCAGTTTCCTTATGTCTGATTCAGACCCACAGGTTTTGGCACTAACCAGGAAAATAACTCAGCAATCACAAAGGAATCCTGGTCCACGTGTGAAAACTCCAGGGGTGCCCACGGTCCAGGCGCATCAGCAGTCTACGTGGACAACACCCTCGCCTATTATAGCACTCTTGCTCCAGCCAAGCCAAGAGGAGGAGGAAGCCATCACTTAACTCTCTTCTTTTTGTCTGTGCAAATCAGATTAGACTGAAATAGGATTCCACAGCCATACCAGTCCTGATTAGCAGGGTGTAGAAACCAGTTGCATTGCCTACCACTGGACTAGGAATCTGGGATAATTGTCAGTGTCCTCGTTGGCCCCTCCTCTAGTATGTTAGATTGCTAAATAATTGTCAACCCACCCATCTGATGAAATTAGGACCAGGAGGCCACTACAGTTAATACTGGGATGAAGCCAGGGACACACACTGTGGCCTCTCTGGCACGGAAGCAGAGAATTGAGGCCCTGGTCTAAATAGCCAAAAAAAAAAAAAAAAAAACTCACTGCTGTTGAGTCGAATCCGACTCGTAGCAACCCCTCCTTGGGTTTCTGAGGCAGTATCACTACGAAAGTAGATTGCCCAACCTTCCTTCCAAGGAGTGGCTGGTGGGTGTGAACTGCTAGTCTTCTGGTTAGCAGTCAGATACCTTTTTATTTATGTAATGCAGTTCTATTGTTGTTGTTAGGTGCCGTGGAGTCATCTCCGACTCATAGCGACCCTGTGCACAGCAGAACGTAACATCACCCGGTCCTGAGCTAGCTCCATGATTCTTGCTATACTTGAGTCTCTTCCAGTTCTATGCAACACATTAAACCTTCAAATGAATTCAAACACTTTATCACAGAAGTTTAGGGCTTTGTACGTAAGTCTACACACCTTTTTAGTGCACAGGCAGAGGCTCACTGCTTCCAACAAGTTTCCTCTCTCACCCTACAATCACATTAATACTGATATTACTAAAGAAGATGGGACCCCAAGGACAGCTTTATGCCGTCTACCTATAAAATGGGTATTTTTCCTCTTGCAATTGGAATGTGTACTTCCTCCCCCACCCCAACATGATAAAAAAGAAAATCACATAAGTATCTATTTGGTGCATTTGCTGGTAACAGAGTTCTAATGTTAAAGAGAAAAATGCCAGAGAACAGAAAAAAGGCCTTAGATAATCACTAGATAAAAGTTGTTCATGCAAGTATTTATTTAAAGAATGCATATATTCCAAAGAAGAGACAAAAAATTAGGAAATAGATTTGTTTTTCTAAATAGAATTTTTATCTTAAAAAAAAAATAATGTGATTCAGACTTCTAAAACAGAAGAGCACACAAATCAAGAAAGATGCAAAATGTATTTCCTCCCTTATGTGAATTAACACCCAAGCATTTTCTCAGAAATATCAATGTTGAAATTGTGCAAAAACTATACCCGTAGTGTATAAACTATAAAACCAACACCTGGTTGTAAAACAACAACAACAACAACAAAAAAAAGGTGCCATTGAGTCAGCTCCGACTCGTGGCAGCCCCGTGTGTGGCTGTGTGATGGGATAAAACCCTGCAGAGCAGGGTTTTCATTAGCCGATTTTTTGGAAGATTGCCAGGTCTTTCTCCCAAGGTACCCTGGGTAGACGCCAACATCCAACCTTTTGGTTAGCTGCTGAGTGCATTAATCCTTTGCACTACCCAGGGATGCCAGTGTCTGATTTAGACATGACGCAAATAAAATAAAAGCAATAAAATAATACACAGTTTATAGAATTCAAAGAAAGCTGGGGTAATTATTAGTCAGGGTAACTTTGCAAGTAAAAAGAGAGCATTTAGGGACATGAGACTTTTTTTTTTACAGTAGGACGCTCTGATGAGGCCTACTACAAGCCTGACTGAAACCAGGGTCCCTGAACACTGAGTCACTGATAGGAAGGATAAAGTGCTACATCTCTGAGAGTAAGCAAGTTAACCGATGCTCTGTTAAAATTTCCAGGATTAAAGCCGAGGCAGTTTTCTGCAAGGAACGTTCTCCTTGAGAGCATGGCCAGCATGTGGTTGAGCCGGGACCTGATCCCAGCAAAGTGGAACTCCCTCTCTTTATTCAAGTTTCTAAATGAGTCTCTTAGGCACATATCTAAGTGGGGGGTGCCCAAGTACTTTGGATATCCAGGATTGTGGAAGTCGGTGACTCGCATGGAAGTCTGGGAGCCAATGGAGCTTGCCACCGAGCCTTGGGAAGACAAAGATGAGGAAGACTTCAAACTGGAAGATCTTGATACAGACATTTTTGAAACTGGCGACCCTTCTTTAGACTGAGTTTCCTGAGAAAAGAGAATATTCTCATCCCCATCAGTCTGGGTGGTGGTCGACTTGGACCAAATCACGGTTTGAGAGCTGGCTACCCTGGTGGCAACTGTGGCTTGGGCCCCAGTGCACACTGTGCTGATCTGAGTCTGTGTCCCCATGTCACTCACATGCACTGTTGCCATCTCTTCTACTGGCTCCGTTTGAGTAGCGACATCAGTTGCCCTTTGGCTTTCTAGTTCATCCTTGTGACTATTTATGTAGTCTTCCTCACTGATGGTGGAGGACACAGAGTCGTGGTGCCTGGTCTCTGCCCTGCCCCCTGTGGGCACCTCTGGTTCCAGGTCAGGCTTCTTGGGAGTACTCGAGAGTCTAGCCAGCCTCAGCCTCAGGAGGTTGCCCAGTGTGAGTTCCTTGGACGGTGGCTTTCGGTCAACTAGATGGTCAAACTTGCTGCTGATCCGGAAGTTGGAAAGGAGTTTGGAGCTGATTGGCTTTGACTGTGCATATAGGATTCGGAACTCCAAATCAAAGTGTTCAACCACTTGGCCAGACAGGATTACCAAGTTACTGCTATTTAATTTGCCATCCGTCCATGTAAAACTTTAGGATTAAAAAGAAAAATAAAAACAGAAGCTGGTAAGGATGACCAATTTTAGTTTACTTATTGTCAGTCAGCAAAATAAAGCCCAGATATTCAGCTACATAAGAGCCAAAACTTTGAAGATATCATAATTGCCATTTAGTTGTGAATTTAACTAGCATGAACATGTATATATAAGGTACATGGGTTAGTATAAGAGTAAAAAGGCCAACCTGTACGTGAAAACCTATACATCTGTAGCCTCAGAGTGGTTAGTCCAGGAAGGCAACAGGCTAGTGACATCATCTAGTGCAGGGTTCCTTGCTCCCTCTTTCAGTGCTGACATTTTCAAAACAGGAGAGAACATTGCTGTCCTAATGAGATGTCATTGCACAAAACACATTTAGAGCTGAGGAGTGGCTGTGTGTCCCTAACTGTCTAGTATCCCTTCCCCTTCCTCTGGTAATAACCCATGTCTGCACCTATCAGAGAAGGCTTTCCTTTATGCACCCTCTTCACCCACAACTCTGGTGGCACAATAGTTAAGGCATTAGGCTGTTAACCAAAAGGTCAGCAGTTTGAACCCACCAGCTGCCTGCTCCATGGGAGGAAGATGAGGCAGCCAGCTTTTGTAAAGATTTACAGTGTTGGAAACCCTGTGGGGCAGTTCTGCTGTGCCCTATAGGGTCACTATGAGTTAGAATCAACTTGATGGCAATGTGTATGTTTTTGTTTCACCTACAACAGGGGTGGGCATATGACCAGGGCTGGTCAGACCATCCCATCCCTTGGATATGGGAATTTATTCAGGGCAGACATGTGAACCAACTCAAGCCAAGTGATTTTTCAGAAATTGATAGTAATGCTGATTGATACTAAAAGAATCACTTTATTTTGGAAATAGCTGATAAAGGCCACAGAAGCCTGGATCTTTGCTTTCAAACGGAGAGCCTGCCTGAGAATAAGGATCAGTTACAGAAGAGCAGAACCAGGAGACAGTGCGCTGATAAATGTATCACCCTAGGTCAAGGTGAGTTGGAAACCAATTATACCTTTCTACACTTCCAAGTAATTTGAGTCAATAAATTGCATTTTGCATAAAGTAGTTTGACTTAGCTTTCTGACACTTGCAATCTTCTCACTGATACAGAAATTTGTGCCAGGAATAGGATGTTTTAAATGAGAGATCATAAAACAGTGCCAGCTCTGTCTCTTACAAACAAGAATCCTGGCTGGTGCCAAATTATTGACTCAAATAACTGTGAGAACTGCTTTCAGAGCTTGAGAAGGTATATTCTTTTGAAAACCCTCAATGAGATAATATAAACAATATGTGGATTATAGATATAAAAATATCTGGATTATAAAAGATCTTCAACAAATGGAAGTTATCATCATCATCATCATCATCAATGATACCACATTTTCATTGGTACAGAAAAGTTTTTATACTTTCAGACTTTAGAACAGCCAAAAACCATCTGGAGCTTAGTTTGATTAACATAGACAATTCCAACTTTGGATCAATACATAGTTTCCTCCTGTTATTTGTAAACTTCTTAGGAAAGGAAGTCCCAAGAAAGAGTTGGAATTTACTTCTGAGCAATGCTGGTAATGTTTGAAAAGAAAGGCATCAAGAGTTTCATAACCTTACTGCCTTGTCTTTCACAAACCTTCACATCCCCACCTTTACCCAGGGCTGACACATAATTATCACTCTGGGAAGTGTTTCTTCAAAACCGTGGGGTTTTTTTTAAACTCCACAGACACACCTCATGCATACCATCAGACCATCTAATGTAGAGGCAGCAAAACACAGCACCGTTGCAGCCACAGAAGTAAAAATGACACATCTTAACTTCGGAAGATTGGTGTGAATCCACCCTCTATTCAGCTTTCCTGTGCTCGCTCCCTGGAGATGCCATTGCCAAAGCGAGACTCCAAAGATGGGGTCAGAAACATACAGATCTGTATCTTTGAGACTAAAGTGCTAAATTACAAGGCTTGAAGCAAAGTGAAAGATTAGAGTCCAAAGGTGAAAATTTCTGCTCTGTCTTCAACATCAAAGTTAAAATATGGCCAAGTGATACACCAGGGGAAGAGAACTGCCCGATTTCCTCTTCCTCCAGGACAGCCATCACTGTCTTCACCTGTAGCCCCCAACCCATCCTCTGGTTCACCAGCAAACCTGACTCTGACTGTAGAAGAGTCAACAACCCAGGCTTGCTTTAGCATAAAATGTGCTTATCTTTTGATATTGGGCTGGTTGTTGTCTGCAACTCTCCAGGAAACAAGGCCAAGCAGGGTCAAAATTCCCAAGGAACAAGGACTCAATATATTTTTTTCCTATCACTATTGATACCCAAATCAGTCTGCTGTAAGGCCTGGACTAAGACTTGAACCTAGAACTCGCTCACTGTGCGGTCTCAAGGCAAGTTTCCCTCTCTGCACTTCAGTTTTGTGGACGGCAGGGAAGGAGAAGGGGCCCCTATCCCTAATGATCTCCTGCTGAGGCATGCTGTGATTCACCAACTTACCTTCACAGCCAGCCACATACAGGATTGCTTGCACGTAAATGCTATCATTGAGAGGAAAAAATGAGCTTTTAGCTTTTAATAACATGTGCTCTAAAGAGTTTAAATGAGTATGCAATGGATACGTTAGGAACTTACCTGTAAGAGCCTGTTGCCACACGAATGCCATCAATCAATGTGAACTTTTCATGAACCTTCCCAACAATTTTAGTTCCTGACCTGGCATAGTAAGTATTTCCTGTGATAGTCCGAACTGTCATTAGCTGTTGGGAGAGTGGGGGAGACAAAGAAATGAACAATCCGGCTGCACTCATCCAGTGAATAAGTGATCAAGACAAGAAGGCTTGGGTTACAATTCCCAAGCAGACAAACTTCTTGGCAGATGAAAAGCTCAAGGTCATCGTTCAGCAATATCACACATGAGCACCAGCCAGAGGATTCTCAGGACTCGCGTGCATTCATCCCTGGTAATGCTACTTTACGCTTAGTCCCCCTTCTCACATGTCCTCCTATATTTCTTTCTCAGACTCTTAATTCATGTGTATGTTCAAAAAGAAGAATCACCTTCTGGGGATACCAGAGAACAGAACCCAAGAAATTATTTTTAAACAAAATGTAGGGGATAAAATCACCAAAGAAAACCACCCTAGTAATAAATAACATTTTAACAAAGGCTTAAAGAAGCCAAGGTGATAGTCTCCTATTCCTTTATTTAACAGCATTACTAGTGAAAAAACAAGGAGCTCAGGTGGTGTAGTGATTAAGGCATTTGGCTACTAGCCAAAAAGATGGTGGTTCAAACCCAGCCACTTCACAGAAGAAAGATAAGGCAGTCTGCTTCTGTAAAGATTTACAGCCTTGGAAACCCAACTGGGGGTCGCTATGAGCCAGAATCAACTCAGTGGCAGAGAGTGAATGTGTCACAGCCTATTTCACCTGTCCCCACACCATAATGAGTATGGAGAATAGGGAAACAGGACAAGCCTCCTCTAGCACATGATTTCTGAGGCAGAAACACTCACATGTGGCTTCATCAGCAATGTCATATCTCCTACAGACACATAGTTACCAAGAGGTATAATGCAGTACACTGGGGTTACACTGGGGTTATACACTGTATGTTGTTGTTGTTATGTGCCATTGAGTTGAACCCGACTCATAGCGACCCCTCCTTCGGTTTCCGAGGCAGTATCACTATGGAAGTAGATTGCCCCATCTTCCTTCCAGGAGTGGCTGGCGGGTTTGAACTGCCAGCCTTCTGGTTAGCAGTCAAGTGCCTTAGGCACTATGCTACCAGAGCTCCTATACACTGTATATGTATGCATAATTATTGATGTAAAATGGCATACATATGTGTGTACCACATTTTTCATAAGTATATGAGGTACTTGAAAATACCATGGCTTGGGTCAGGCACACCAAGTATGTAAAATAAGGAAGACCAAAGAAGAGCTGATGCATTTGAAGTATGGTGTTGGCTATGAATACTGAATAGACCATGGACTGTAAGAAGAATGAACAAATGTGTCTTGGAAAAAGTACAGCCAGAATGCTCCTTAGAAGCAAGGATAGAGAGACTTTGTCTCACGTACTTTGGACGTGTTATCAAGAGGAACCAGTGCCTTAAGAAAGACATCATGCTTGATACAAAATAGAGGGTCAGCAAAAAAGAGGAAGACCCTCAATGTGATGAACTGACACAGTGTCTACAACAATGAACTCAAATAAATATATCAACAATCGTGAGAACGGCACAGGACCAGGCAGTGTTTCATTTGTTGTACATGGGGTCACTGTAAGTCAGAACTGACTTGATGGCATCTAACAACAACAACAAATGTAATACAATGGGATACAAAATACTAAACAATCTGCACTCTTTGGAGCAGGCCAGTGGCTACATATTTTTAGAAATCTTACATGTTCAAATTTATTTTAACTTTAAGAGTTTTGTTTGACTTCTCATTCATTCCTCAAACATAAAGGCCCTAGTATGTGCCAAGTTCTGGGGCAATGGAGATATATAAGCCATGCTTCTTGCCTTCAAAGAGTAGAATCAGAGGCAGAAAAGAACTGGATGATTAAAAAACTATGGCAAGACACATCATCATCCAGAGAAACAAGAATTTATGTCCACACAAAAACCTGTACATGAATAGTTATAGCAGATTTTTAAGAGCCAAAAATTGAAAACTATACAAATGCCCTTCAATGGGTGAATAGTTAAATTATCCAAATGCCCTTCAATGGCTGAATGGCTAAACCACGGGACATCCGTCCCACGGAATACCACTCAGCAATAGAAAGGAACAAACCACTGAAACATGAAACAGTGGGGGTGGATTTCAAGGGCATTGTGCTGAGTGAGAAAAGCCAGTATCCAAAGGTCAGACATGGTGTGATTCCATCAACATAACATGCTCTAAATGGCAACAGCGCAGAGTTGGAGAAGACATTAGGGGTTGCCGGGTTAGGAATGGGGGGGTGACTATAAAGGGGAAGCAAGAGGGCCAGCTTTGTGGTGGTGGTGGAACAGTTCTGTAGAGTGGTGGCAGTGGTGGCTATGTGAACCTACACAGCTGATGAAATGGCACAGAACTAAAGACACGCGTTGTAGCGATGAAACTGGGAACCTGGGTAAAGGGTACATGGAATTTCTCTGTATTATCTTTGCACCTTCCTGTGAATCTATAATTATTTCAAACTAAAAAGGTCAAAACAAACAAAGTTATAACGTACATAACGTCACCTCTGTGGTATTCTTCCCAAAACACATTAACCTGAATTTAATCGTGAGGAAACATCAGACAAACCCAAATTCTCCAGAAAACTGTCAAGACCCTAAAAGACAAAGGAAGATGGGGGAGTGGTTCCCAATTAAAGGAAACCAAGGAGGTGTGACGACTACATGTAAGGTGTGGCCCTGGACTGGATTCTGGGCCAGAAAAAGGGCATTAGTGGGACAAGGGGTGAAATTTAGCTCTCTGTAGATTAAATAATACTATCATATCATGATCAGTTTCCTGATTTTTATATTTGATACTGTATTTCTTTGAATTTGTAAAATATTAATAATTTGTGTGAAGCGTACTATATGGGAATTCTTATGCTACCTTTATAACTTCATTATTTCAAAATGAAAATTTTTAAAACAAGGAAATGCATTGAGGTACACACTGAAGTGGTGGTGAGAGGGCTTCCTGGAGGAGGTAATGATTCCTTAGTTGTATCTTAAAGGATCAACATATAAATCAGCATAAAAAATATTGCTGTGTAAGTTGAGGTGTGGTTTTGTGTCTCTCCCTCTGGCACACAGCTACATGTTGTGCAGGCCTGTGTGTGTGTGGCCAAAGCACTTCTGAGTACCTGCATATGACTGTGTGGCTGAGTCGCTGCAGACAGGACACCCAACACCTGAACCAGTGCAGAGCCAGGGTGGGGGGAAGTCCGTCCCCACTCAGTGAGGGCACAGACACCACCCAGGAGGAGAAGTAGCCAGGGAAGATGGTGCTTCCTTAGGAATGAATGACAGACATTAACGTGGTGAGGTCAGTGGTGCAGGCCTCCTTTGGACCCCGTCCCATGGAGGATCTGGACACCCATGAAGGCAGTAACCAACAGTGGCAACCAGATTGGTAAATACTCCTGGATTTTTGCCCAGTAGCTGAATCAGAGCCAATTACTTTGATCAAAGTGTGGCTGGAACTAGTCTGTGATTTTTCTGCTGCTAGCATACTGCCTCAATTATAGAAAAAGTGCCTTAAAATGAAGCATGCACACCTTGAATTTCTTCAGACCGGCTCTAAATGAGCACAGTCATGGGCTGAATACTTGGTTAGATGATTATGCTCTTTCCCAGGACTGACTTGCATTGACCTTGGGTCCAGTGATCTCATCTTAATTGACTGCTGGGTCACATGGCTGTCTCCTTTAATTCAGTCTCTAAGCTCCGATTCTAGCTCCAGTGTGAATTTCCCTTAAATCCAATCCTCAATTTCCTCATCAGGGGAAATAACCAACAAACACTCTGTGGAAGAAGTTAAGTAAGCAAACTTTTGCAAACCAATTGCTTAGTGATGACAAAGTGGTAAGTTTGTGTCCTGTTGTGCAGTACAGTAACCCATAGTTTCACAGCCCAAATTCTTTGTTTATAGGACAAAGTAGTAGCTAAGCTTGTTCTAAGGACAGAGTAGTAGTTCATTAAGTGGCAATCATCATGACTAAAACTAGAACCTATTGGAGCTACCATCAAAAGCAGCAGCTTACAAGGCAGCTTCTAGCGTCGACAGCACAGTGATTCACTCTCTGTTAGGGGCAGCACGGTATGGTGGAAAGGCCAAGGTTTGAATCCTGACTCCAGCACTTCTTTTCTGAGACTGGGCAAATGACTTTGCTCAGGGCCTCGGTTCCCTCACTTGGAAAGGGGGATACCACTGCCATCTGCCTGGTAGATCCCAGAGGTTCCGTAATGTTTGCTGACTGTAATGACAGTGTGACACAAACCTTTTCCTGTTCAGGATGAACTTTCAGATCCATGCACATATCCAAAAACTGAGAGAGCTGAGCCTGGTCCAGGAGGATGTACACAGCAACTCCCTGCTTCCTACAGATTTCCTGCAGGTCTCTGAAGATGTCGATGTCAGTGAACACATCCATTACCACTGCAATCACCTACAGGGGGAGGGAGAGGGAAGAGCAAGCCATTAGCTCACAAAAAAACACCACCAGACAGCCAGGTGCCCAGCCTCTGACCCACCTCAGAGCCGGGAAAGGATCCCACCCACAGTTTTCCTTCCTTCCTCCTTCTTTAGCATCGCTCTCCCCTCATCATGGGCACTTTTCTAGCTCCAAAAACACTCAAGCCACCGTATCCTACAAATCTTGACTTTGCCCAGGCCTCCCAAGCTCTCCAGCCACTTTTCTTCTCCACACTGGGAAATTTCTTAAAAAAAAAAACACATTAGTGCACTGCCTTGCCCTCCTAGAAGCCCATTTCATTCAATGTGTCTTGCTTTACTGAAGTCCCTGTCTTGCAAGCTCGATTCAGATCAAGCTGTGTCAGTTGCTGCTGTGGCTAACATCTGTCATCTTAGGCACGCTGCTTTCCTCCCTAGGGTTCCATTTCCTATGTCTGCAAAACAAGGAAATAAAAACCGTAGGTTCTCTCTGAGGCCTCTTCTGGTTGTAACATTCTCCAAGTCTCTGGTTTTGATTATTGCCCGATTTTGAATCATATTCTCTGGTTTTGTGTTATTATCTAGAAAGGGCCACCCTACGCATCCCTCCCTAACTCATGGCTTGAAACGGATCAAGCCAGGTCATTGGACCCTCCCATCTTATGCTAACTCTGCAAACCAAGTCTCTGTACCGCTACACCTCCCTTCACCAGTGTTGTTTCTAGTTGCCACCCAGCCAGCCCCTGACTCACGATGACTCCGTGCACAATGGAATGAAACGTTGCCTAGCCCTGCACCACCCCCGATTGGATGCAGGCAGGGCTGTTAAGATCCGTAAGGTTTTCATTTGGCTTATTTTCCAAATTAGATCACCAAGCCCTTCTTCCTAGTCCAACAAAGTCCAGACACTCTGTTGAAACCTGTTCAACATCATGTCCACGTGTAAACCTCCAACAGACAGCTGGGTGGGTAGGTGTGTATGGGGTGCGTGGGCAGGGACTAAACAAGGATCTCCTGTACGGAAGGAGAGAATTCGACCACTGAACCGCTGAGGCCTTGTTCCCTTACCCCCTCCAGCAGTCAGTGCCATCCGCTCCCTGCTGCACACAATCTACCAAATGGCTTCTGTAGCACCAGTCTCTCCTCTTCAAAGGGTGGCCTCTGGGGCTCTTTGGTATCTGTCCACAGTGTGAGCCCACAAAAGAAATGAGGACGTATCCCCTAAGGATTCTGCCCTTAAGCTCAGACCAGGCCCTTCTCCCCGACAACACAGCTCCACCTGTGTCTCCTAACTAATTGGCCCCACCCAGCATCTGCCACAGGGAAGAGCTGCCTCTTCACTTTGTGTTGTTGGGCTGTTTCGAATGGGCTTCCTTAGCGGGACAGGTTTAGAGTGGGAACTGAGTGACTGTGTTACATACAGTGTGAGGTACAAATGATCCCTGGAGCATCCTGCCTTCACTTCACCAGTCCATTGGCTGAGCTGTCCAGACAGCTCCCAGCTCTCTTTGCCCAAGAGGCTGCTCTAGCCACAGACCTGTAATCACACCCTTGGTAAGTATGAGATTGTGGCCCTCAGCTAACTCCTGGCAGGGCTGTGAGGGTGTCAAAACAGCCAGGCTTAGAAACAAGTCCTTACAAATGGAGTCAGAACTCAGGGGTGTTAATTAAGGAAACCACTCCCTGAAGCCAAGGTTCAGGAGCTTGTGTGCAGTCTAGTCTGGAAGGGTTCTCCTCCCTCCTCCCAACGTCAACAGTAAAAATCTGCATCTCTCATGATTACATTCACTTTTTCTGAGCTTTAAAGGTTATGTGTGGAGTCCCTGGGTGGTACAAACAGTTAAGTGCTCAACTACTAACCAGTAGGGTAGTGGTTTAAGTCCATCCAGAGGTGCCTCTGAAGAAAGGCCTGGCACTCAGCTTCCAAAAAGGTCACAGCCATTGAAAACCCAATGGGGCAGTTCTGTTCATCACACATGGGGTCACCATGACTTGGAACCAACTCAACAGCAGCTGGTAAGGTTATTTATTCATGGGTCTCACCTCTCCTCCGGAGCGGAGTCCCTTAAACCTCCTTAAAAGCAGAGGTTGATTCACCTCTGTGGTCCCAGAGAACTCAGGACAGTGCATGACAGTGGTTACTCCTTATGTATGGGGGGGTTAAAGAAGTGCAGACACAAAGAGGTGATGTTGCCATCTTTCTCCACGGCCCACGAGAATCATCTACCATGATGAGGGACCTTGAAACACCAGCTCCCAGGAAGTCACAGCTGTGACTGAGCCTGCAAAGACCATTTTAGCTCCCTGGCTGCCTTTCTCCTCCCCACCCCCTCCCCTCAGACTTGATGCAGCCCTGGCTGTGAGCTATTCCCTTTTTTTTTCTTTAATTTTTGGTGAAAACATACTCAGCAAGAGCAGCTCCCATTCTGCAGTTACTAGACATGCTGATCAGTGACAATGGTCCTGTTCTTCACATTCTGCCAACATTCTTGTAACTTCAGATCTAGCAGTTTCACTTCCATTGACTTAGTCTCCGTCCGGTCCCCCCACCTTCTCATCTAGGCTTCAAAATAGCTATTGGCCCTTTGGTCTTAGTTAGTTTTTTTTTTTTTTTTAAACTCTTTGGGATAAACTGTTTTAGGTTGAAGGTAATTTCAGGAGATAGTTTCAATTCAAGGTTTGAAGAATAACTCAGGGCCATAGTCTCATAGTCTCAGGCACTCCTCAATTGGTCCAGTAAAACTGGATTCTTCAAAGATTTGAAGTTCTGTTCCACACTGGTCTCCTTTTTATCAGGATTCCTCTATTGTATTCCCGATCAGAACGTTCAGTAGTGGTAGCAGGGCACCACCTAGTTCTTCTGGTGTCAAAGTGGAGGAAGCAGTGAGCTATTCTTCACACAGTGATTTTAAAAATAAGAAGAGTTCTTTCTGAATTGGTGGTATCTTCAGAAGTTGTATCTTCTACAGGGTTTTTATGTTATAGGACCTTCTCTGTGGGTTGTATCTATCCCATTCAGTCAGGTCATGTGACACAGTGGTTAAAGGGCAGAAAGGCCTGGACACGTACCTTGGCTCTGCTATACTAAGCTGTGTGACCCTGGCAAGTTGCCTAGTCTCCCTAAGCCTCAGTTTCTTCCTCTGGAGAACAGTAGCATCTACATCAAAAGGCTGTTATGAGGATTAAATGAGACAAAGCATAGGAAAAGCTTAGCTTAGGGCAAGGCATGAAACAGGTGTTCAGTTATTTGGCCAGTACTTCTTCAGACTCTACTGTTGGCTGAGCACAAGGCAGAAAGATTGCTACAACGAGTATGACATAAACCCAACTTCCCCTCAAGGAGAGGACATGGGATGCAGGGAAGCAAAATGACAGCAACTATAAAAGACAATTAAATCAGGGGAAGACCTTGAGGGGACAGTAGCATCTCCTTTGCAGTGGTGGAAGAACGATGACAGGAACAGACATGTTTACCATGAAAGAGCAGGGGAGGCTCCCTGGAGGAGATGGCCTTCAGCTGCATCACAAATAAGGAAAAAGACCAGGACACAAAAACATGGGGGACCAGAAGGGGAGGACATCCTGGCAGGAAGCTACATGACTGCAGGGGAAGAGGCAGAAAATGATGAGTATGTACCAATTTGGCTGGAACATAGAGTATGCATGAAAGGAAGCATTAGGACATGAGTGGGACAGGTAGATGACTGAGCAAGATCACAGAAGGCCCTGCTTGCCAGCTAAGGAATCATTATTATAGAGGCAATGTGTTGTTGTTGTTGTTGTTATATGCCGTTGTAGTAGCCATTTATTTGTTTTTAAAAGAAGACTAATGAGTTCAAGGTGATGAACCCAGCAGCACAGAAGAAGTGAATGCTGGAAAAAAATTCAGTGTAAGCTAGAGATCTAGCCCACCTCCTCCAGCACAGGGCCATGTACTTCAGTGGCTACAACATGGCAATTAGATATTTTTCAGGTTAACAAACATCATCAAAACTTAATTGAACACTATTAGTGAATGCTGTAACATATAAAATTTAGCAACAACAGCAATAACAACCAAAAAATATGTGAGTGCCTGGTCTTGCATCAGCCTCATAATCCTTGCTATACCTGAGCCCATCGTTGCAGCCACTGTGTCAATCCATCTAGTTGAGGGCCTTCCCCTTTCTCACTGACCCTCCACTTTACCAAGCATGATGTCCTTCTCCAGGGAATGGTCCCTTCTGACAACATGACTGAAGCAGTGGGACCAAGTCTCGCTTCCAAGGAGCATTCCAGCTGCACCTCTTCCAGGACAGATTCGTGGTTCTTCTGGCAGGGGAAGACCTTGAGGGGACAGTAGTACTCTCAGTAGTCTTGGTCAACATCACAACTCAAAAGCATCAACTCTTCTTCGATCCTCCTTATTCATTGTCCACCTTTTACATGCACATGAGGCTATTGAAAATACCATGGCTTCAGTTGTTGTTGTTGTTATGTGCCATCGAGTCAAACCCGACTCATAGCGACTCCTCCTTGGGTTTCCGAGGCAGTATCACTACGGAAGTAGGATTGCCCAACCTTCCTTCCGAGGAGTGGCTGGTGGGTTTGAACTGCCAGCCGTCTGGTTAGCAGGCAAGTGTCTTAGCCACTATGCTACCAGAGCTCCCATGGCTTCGGTTAGGCGCACCTTAGTCTTCAAAGAGACATCTTTGCTCTTCGGTACTTTAAAGAGGTCTTTTGCAGCAAATTTGCCCAGTGCAGCATGTCGTCTGATTTCTTGACTGCAGCTTCCACTGTTGTTGAATGTGAAACCAAGTAATATGAAATCTTTGATAACCTCAGTCTTCTATTTATTGTGATGCTGCTCATTGGTCCAGTTGTGAGGATTTTCACTTTCTTTATGTTGTGGTATAATCCATACTGCAGACTATAGTCTTTAATCTTCATCAAAAAGTGCTTCAAGTCATCTTCACTTTCAGTAAGTAAGGTTGCGTCGTCTGCGTATCGCAGGTT